GGAGTTACAGTTAGTACTGAGACATTAACTTTCATATTCTGATATCACTGCATCTGCTGTGGCATCACCTGGATTCGGTTGTGGCCCCTCAAGTCTAGTTAAGACATCAGGTGCTCCAGCAGCATCTCTGATAATCTGAAAAAGATGACAACAAAACTGTGAGCAGTAAGCTAGTAGTTGACTTCCATATTAGTTGACTTCCAACCGTACAGTCAATTTGGAAACTTGTGAACTTCCATAGTAGTTTAGATTTTGTAGAACTTTTTTTTTTTTTGCAATGTAACAAAAATGATCAACAGGTATCACGTGAATAATGAATTAAGTGCAATCTCCATGTGTCAAGGAACCTTAGATATTAAGTGCATCACATATAAATATCAATCTTGTCTCACACATGCAATCTCTTCTCTTTTGTGCAGAATTAATCGGCGGCATCAAATAATCAGTCTCAAGACCCGGATTTATCACAGTGGTTCCAAGGGCCTCCGCAGTGATTGTATTTGCATTTGTGGATTATTGTGACTTAGTTGTGACTTGTGATGATGGTTTATTGTGAATTGTGACGATGGTTTATTGTGAATTATGATGATGGTTTATTATTCCTGTGAAATACAATTATGTCTGTGACATATAATTATGCCTGTGATGATGCTTTATTGTGAATTGTGATGGTTTATTGTGAATTGAGATGGGTCCGTTATACGGGACAGATTAGTAAAAAAGGGGGGTATTGGTCGCTTTGCCGAGTATAACACTCGACAAATAGACGCTTTACCGAGTGTCGAGCCAAAACACTCGGCGAAGGGACCAATTTCTGTTATTTTGGGAACCTTTTTTGCTGAGTGTTTTGTCTTTGCCGAGTGTATTCAAATGGACACTCGGCATAGTGACCATGAAATCTGCCCGTTGCGCGCTTGTTTGTCGAGTGTATTGGGCGCGACACTCGGCAAAGTGTGTAAACTTTGTCGAGTGCTTTAGTCATGACACTCGGCAAACTTTATAACCTTTACCGAGTGTTTAGGTCTTGACACTCGGCAAAATTTAGAAACTTTACCGAGTGTTTTGGAGCTGACACTCGGCAAACTTAAGAAACTTTACCGAGTGTTTTTCCGTCGTGCACTCGGCAAAATCGCCGTCACCGTGCCATCCCGTTATCATTTTTTGCCGAGTGTTTCTTTTTGCCGAGTGTTTATTGACACTCGGCAAACTATTTGCCGAGTGCGCGATAAAAAACGCTCGGCAAACTACTGTTTATCGGCAAAATAATGCCGTGTGTTGTATGCCGAGTGTTACACTCGGCAAAGCATTTGTCGAGTGTCTTTGGGCCTTTGCCGAGTGCCCCTGGCACTTGGCAAAGGTACTGTATCCCGTAGTGACAGACAACTGCTGTCTATTTGGCTATCCACAAACCGTTTAATGCTTGCATGTTGCCATGATCACTTATGAATATCAATCATATATACCATTATGTTGCTATTGGTGCAAAACAAATCATACAAAGTAAATCATATATATTATATATATAATATAATATATTTCCATCATAAATCAAATATAACATACGTCTTCTTCCTCATCATAAACCAAATATAGCATCGAGAGATGGATGGTTCACTTGCGCCAAGTTTGACCACAGGTAGTCCCGTACAACGGCGCTTCTGCCGTCGTGTTAGCCTTGGAGCACGTGCCGCTGCCGTAGCCTCACCAGAGGATGGCTTTCCTTTCTCGCTTCATTCAATGCCACCAGAGGGGGTGTTTTTTGCAAATATACATCTCTACAGACCGCACTCCGACGTCTATTGTACGTGCCCTAAAACGTCGTAGGACGAGAACGAGGACGTCGCAGGTACAGCGTACGGTCGGCCGGCGCCGGTCTCTGTCGTCCGCAGACACGCTGGAACGCTTAGCTGCCTGTTGGAACACGTACGTACAGAAAGCGGCTGGGTTGGGTGCCTGGTGATGCGTCTGATGCTATACCTACGACTACGACAAGGTTGGTTGGTGATCTGAGCTAGGGCCTAGGGGCATGTAACTCTGTTCGCTTGATCGTATCAATCATATTTATCAGCCATAATATAGTGTTTTTTTTCTCAAAATAAAACAGAATCAGCTAACTTATAAGCCACATAAACGATGTAGCGACAGGCGTATACGGTAGTGCCGCTCATGCTCATCATCACTCCGTGTCAAGCAAAGGCAACCACCCGGCACGCGCATAATTAAATGCATGATTAACACCTTACCGATACACATGTAAAACGTACACCCGCTCATGCATCGCCAGTATACATGTACTCTATCTAGTACTCCCGTACGTACCTTTTGCGTGTGTAACCAAATGGTCCTGGCTACTAGTATTACCTGTTCATCCATCCGTACATGCTTCCACACATGGTCTTACTAGTCTCTTAGACAAGTATATGTACTACAAGTACATGCTTAACCGATCTAATTATATATTTGTCTTTGTGGTCTCTTCCTTTGTTCATTCTATAACACGGTATATATAGACTATCAAACACGTCCATGTGTTACAGCAGACAATGTGTAATTTGTTGTGTGACCTCACCTTGACGACTTGCTTGTGGTTAGGAGATTTATTTATTTAACCATCATGTCATGTGTTTCGATTCGTCTTGAGATCAAATATGTACTATATGTCTGCATGTGTACTGCTCTAACGGTATATATATACACACACGGTAAGGCTATTCTACAGCTGGTCACAGAATAACTTATTCTATGGTCACCTTGATTTACGATAATATTTGTACCAATTTACGATAATGACAATACACATTTACTATACATGGGTTACTATAATTGAAGATAATACTTACCATAAAGTTATAGTAAATCACTTATGAGGGAGTTACCATAGTCTCGTAAATTAGTATAGTAATTATTGTAACTCAAATTGGCCACAGAATATATATATATATATATATATATATATATATATATATATATATATATATATATATATATATATATATATATATATATATATACACACACACACACGGGCCTTAGAGAGTTGTCCAATAATTAATCACGTCAAGCGTTTGTTTGGAATCGGACTTTGTCCGAATAACGTAACAATCTTCTCTAATCCATATAGGCATGGGAAAGAGTGAGGGACTAGAAAAAAGCCTTGTATTCCAATTCATTTTGGAATCAGGGTATCGGAGTACACACCGTTGCTTGACACCAACCCGTACGGGTACAAGAGATATTGGATCCATCAGATTCCCATCGGATGGTTACGAGGAATGACATATGAAGAAACTTTTCTCCCTTTAATATTAGACTAGTAAATATATCCGTACGTTGCGACTTACGTGTCATTTGTTGTCTTCTCTGGATATATTACTTTTACTATGCACCTAGTAATTTCGTATATCTACGTGTATAACAAAAAACTATATACCTAGAATATCCAAGACGGTCTATAGGCACTACCGGAAACGCCAAATTTGCCGAGTGTATTCTCTCGGGCATTCGGCAAAAGTTCTTTGCCGAGTGCTCCGCTAAAAACATTCGGTAAAAAAAACACTCGGCAAAAAGGAGGTTTGCCGAGTGTCAAAAAAAACACTTGGCAAAGAGGGGGTTTGCCGAGTGTTTTCTTTTTTACACTCGGCAAAGAAATAAATTCTTTTTTCATGGGAAAGAAGGAGAAGAAAAAAAAAAAAAAAAAAAACATTTTGCCGAGCGTCCAGATCTAGGACACTCGGCAAAAAAATAAAATCTTTTTTTCTGGGAAAGAAGGAGAAGAAAAAAATAAAAAAACACTTTGCCAAGTGCCCAGATCTAGAACACTCGGCAAATAAATAAAATCTTTTTTCTAAAAAAGAAAAAAAAGAAAAAAATCACTTTGCCGAGTGCCTAGATCTAAGACACTCGGCGAAGGAAAAAAACCTGCTTAATTAACCGGCACCCGCTCGTGCCCCTCCCTCCCCCTTCTTCTTCCCCCCACCTGCGGCCTCTCTCCGCCGCGCCGCTCCCCTCCCTCCCCTCCTCCGGCGCGCCCCTCCCCTCCTCCTCCGGCATGCCCCTCCCCTCCCTCTCAGTAGCGGCCCGTCCTCCCCCTCCCTCCTCCCCAGATCTGCCCGCCCGCCCCTCCCTCCCTTCTTCTTCCCCCACCCACGCCCTCTCTCCGCCGCGCCGCTCCCCTCCCTCCCCTCCTCCGGCGCGCCCCTCCCCTCCCTCTCTGGTGCGGCCCCGTCCTCCCCTCCCTCCTCCCCTGATCCGCCCGCCCGCGCCCTCTCTCCCTCTTCGGATCCGGGCGTGGTGGTGGTGGTGAGCTCGCCGGCGTGGTGGTGGTGGTGAGCTCGCCGGAGCTGCGCGAGCCAGTCGAGCGCGAGGTGGCGGCGGCGCCTCTCTCCTCTTCATCTCCTCCACAGGTGGCCGATCCGGCGCCCCTCCCCCTTCTTCCCCGCGGTGGCAGATCCAGTCGCGCCGGGGGCGGATTGTGGTAATTATTGATGTATGATGTTCTATGATGCCTTTTACGATCTGTAAATGTCATGGATGGTTTTGGTAGTGGCGATTGTTAGTATCTTCCAGCTAAATATGTTGAGGAATATGCTTTGTTTTTTTTTGTCTGTGTATGAATTAACTTGTAGATGTACCTACGGATTTGTTTTAGGTAGTTCACTGTCAGGATTTAGAGTTTGGACATCCCATTGTATAATGGGACTGAAGTTTGTCTCTTTGGCTTGCTTTTACCACCGCCTTAGAGATGAATACAGTACCCTAGAACAAAGCCAGCCTCCTGATTAAAGTTCTTGATTTATGAATGGGGCTGGAGTTTGGCTCTTTGGCTTTATTTTTCTGTGCCTTTGAGATGAATGCAGCACCCTAGAACAAAGCCAACCTCCTGATTAAAGTTCTTGATTTATTCTATAAACCTGGAATACAATTGGAGGTTGAAATATTTGCTAACTTAGTACACCACAACAAGTGGTTCAAGTATGTTTGAGTGATGGGGTCGTCTCAGCATGCAGAATACTGACGAGTACGCTTTGTTAACATTGTGCAAACATTATTGTTTTGGCACCTGGGAACACTTAAGAAAAGGTGGTGTTGGCTTCCGAGTACATATGATTTTGAGCTCTTACAGTCTGGTTCTGATGTCTGTATTCAGGAAAGCTGATCATCATCGCGAACAACTGCCCTCCACTTAGGAAGTCTGAGATTGAGTACTATGCTATGCTGGCCAAAGTTAGCGTGCACCATTTCCATGGAAGTAAGACCACCTTCATCCTTTCAGGATTATCTATTGCAAGTTCTGTTTGTTTTTAGTTATTTGGAGTTGTACTTGGCACCACTCATTTAATCGACTAAGGTTGGCGTTGTAAATTTTGCTATTATGTGTTCAACCCATTGTTTTGTTGACATTTCAGACAACGTTTATCTTGGCACTGCCTGCGGCAAGTACTACAGGGTGTGCTGCCTCAGTATCATCGACCCAGGTTCGTTTCTGTTAAATTGTCATTATCTTCTTCCGCTCGGAACTGTCACTGAACAATTGTTACCTCCTGTAATGTCTCTGCTCCAGGTGACTCAGACATCATCAGCACCACCCCTGGCACCCAGTGAGTGAAGAGATGAGATATAGGGCTCAGACTTCCGCTGCAAGCCCTATAGCCATTTCTTTTTTATCTTTTAGTTATGTAATTGTGCTATCATGTGTCCATCTACCATACTGTGATACTGATAATACCTCGTATGGCTGCTATGTAAGGCATATCCATCTTGTTTGATGAGATCGTTATTTTTTTTCTTTGAAAAATAGGTTTGCCGAGTGTAATTCCCAAAAACACTCGGCAAACAATAATGGTATGCTGAGAAAAAAAAATCTTTGGAAAATAGGTTTGCCGAGTGTAATTATCAAAAACACTCGGCAAACAATAATCCTTTGCCGAGTGTATTTTGGAAAAACACTCGGCAAACTACTTTTTTTTTTGCCGAGTGCGCTATAAAAAACACTCGGCAAATAGTTGTTTGTCGACACTGTAGTTGTCGTGTGCTGAGTGTTTTTTGGTCTTTGCCAAGTGTCTGTAGCACACGGCAAAGTCACTGTTTTCGGTAGTGAGGGTGGTATTATTTATGTTTCACCATTTATAAAATTTAAAAGCTACAATTTATTTTGTGATGGCCATGACATCCAAAGTATAAGTTAATATCAGGCAACAATGTGACAATGTATTGTTAAGTCTGAATTAAAATACAATTTTGAAATATTTTTTTTAAATTGCAAACCACATAAATATTTAGACGTAAATATATTATAACTTTATTTTTGATTCTATCCACGTGTTGTTATAGTTCAAGAAAAAACAAATTACACCGCTATTTGTGCTCATGTTTAGTTTAGCTATTTCAACCTTTCTTTAGTCTGCTATAGGTGACTCTTAGCCTCAAGATAGACTAGCCGCTAAATGTCCATAGCCCCCTATTTATTACACTGCTATAGTTAAATATTGATTTTTGGGACGTTTGAGGACCATAAAAAACTAATTTTAATCTCTATAATTAAAGTCAACAAGGAGTGTTTACAATACTTATGATTGTAATGGAAAACTTACTTGAGTTTTCACATGCTAGCCTCGTGGCTTATCTCACAGATACATTTATTTAGACCAGATTAGACAATAAACTATTTAAATTTTCTATTCACATTTTGATTAGTTGAATCACCTGCTAAACCAGGTTTCAATAAGAATATGTTTTTGATCAAACTTACGTTAACAACTTGGTAGTAGAAAATTTGTCTTAGAGGAAATCAACAGTTGAAAGGTCCATAATAATTATTTTTATAAAAAAAAGTCCATGGAAAAAAAATCACCTAAGAAGGTCACTGATGCAAAAGAAAAAACAAAAGAAATCATAAATAAAGAAATCGGACGGAAGGCCAACAAAAAAATCAAACGAAAACTGAAGTGCACCCAAAGGAACGGAGGAAAAAAATTAATATCGAGCTGAGGCCGCGTCATTTTGCTGGCGTTGCAGCGGTGACGACGGCATCTGCATCATGCATACAGTGTACGTGCATCATCAGACACACACACGACCAGCAGACCAGTAGATCCAAGTACTAGGTCGTCGCACGCTGTGGGACTTTTTTTTTTTGAATCAGCTGCGGGACTATTTTTTTATTAAAGAATGCAATTAATTAGCGTCGCCGCCGGCAGCATGCTTAAGGGCATGTACAATAGAGAGACAACCGCTGTCTGTAAGTTCTTGAAATTTACAACACAGACGGTTGAACAGACAGCTCGTACAACCCACACACTACCGGAAACAGTATAATTGCCGAGTGCCTGAGAGTTTGCCGAGTGCATTCCATCGGGCACTCGGCAAACATCTTGTTTACCGAGTGTCTAATAAAAAACCATCGGCAAACATATAGCACTCGGTAAAATCCAACTTTTCCGAGTGTCTAATAAAAAACACTCGGCAAACTACAAAGAAACACTCGACAAACACAGACACTCGGCAAAGTAGAGGCACGTGCGCTGGGCGTGCGGCATCCGTTGGGTGCGCCGCCCTGCCGTTATAACTTTACCGAGTGTTCGTTAGAGACACTCGGCAAAGACAAGATTTGCCGAGTATTTTTTATTGACACTCGGCAAACTAATATTTTTGCCGAGTGTTTTTGTTTGACACTCGGCAAAATAATATTTTTACCGAGTGTTTTTTATTGACACTCGGCAAAATAATAATTTTTTGTCTCTCTTGCTCTCCAAACTTTTTCTACTCTCCACATACAACATGTGATACTACATGTTAAAATTTGACATATTTCTCAATCTGTTTGCTATATTTAATTAATTAATTGTATTTAGAGGAATTTTTTGGTTTAAGTCAAATTTGAACTGTAAGTGATTCAAATAATGGTATAAATTGAGTGGAGAAATCATATTCATGTTATTAAGTCCATTTTAGGGCCTTACTCGGGAAATGAAAAGAATTTTTGAACATTTTGTTCAGGAAACACGACCACGAACGTGTGGCCGAATGGTTTTTAAATTCTAAAAAAAGCAAACGAAGTCTGAAAATCACGAGATTTGTCAAAATTTCATGATATCATACGTGGAGACTGGAAAAAAAATTAAGAAGGTTTCCCATAATTTGTCACGTACAACCTTTATAAACCGAAGTATCTCCGAAGAAGAATCATAGCGTTAAGAAGGATCCGGGAAGATTTGGAGTCAAAGTGACGGTCCAATTGGGGTTTGACTTCAAAAGTTTCTGTATAGGCAATAGACAACATAGATTTGTTCACGTCAATTTTTGGTAATTTTTCGGATCCGTTTGATAATTTTAATTTATTGACTGCAATTATAGAATTTTAATTGATATAAATTGAATTTGAGCTTTAACTGCATGAAATAATGGATTAATATTCGTAGAAAAATTAAGTATGCATTGTTGAGTGAATTTGACGAGGTATTTTAAAAAGTGTGTCGTAACAAATTTAGTAGAACACGCTATGAAGAAGGAGGACGGTGGAGCATGAAATATAAACTTTTTTTGCCGAGTGTTTTATACCTGACACTTGGCGAAAAGATAATCCGTATGTTTTAGTTGTAGATAGATTGTTGATTTTTTCCGTGATATGTGCTTTCTGGATTTGCTGAAAAGATAAGAATACCGCGGCTGCATGTTGGAGCGGGGTGCACGTGCATGCATCCATGCATGAAAAGACCTGAAGGAACCTATGAGGGAGGAGCGCGGGATAGAGCCGGGCAGAGCCACCATGCAGGGTTTGGGGGAATTTCCCTTTCTGCGTCAGGTAGCCATAGATCGCAAGGAGATTTTGGTGCTGTCGGGTAGACGTTGACAATCCGTATGTTTTAGTTGTAGATAGATTGTTGATTTTTTTCCGTAATCTGTGCTTTCTGAATTTGCCCAAAAGATAAGAATACCACGGCTGCATGTTGGAGCGGTGTACACATGCATGCATCCATGCATGGAAAGACCCGAAGGAATCTGTGAGGGAGGAGCGCGGGATAGAGTCGGGCATAGTAGCCATGCAGGAGGTTGGAGGAATTTCCTTTTCTGCGTCGGGTAGTCATGGATCACAAGGAGATTTTGGTGTTGCCGGGTAGACGTTGATAATCCGTATGTTTTTGTTGTAGATAGATTAGATCCAAACTGAACGGGATATGGACTCAGAAAAAAGGATAGGGGACATAATCGAACAATAGATCTAAAAGTGGAAGGGGATTAGAGCTGGGTGAAAATAATTATATTGCGGAAATTTTGGCCATAAATATAGAAAAAATAGAGAGTAGAATAGGATTAGGATTCTTACCGAAGTTTACTCAGGACTTTAAAGGATCTATTTGGATTAGGATTTGAATTCGTACCTATTCAAGTTACCTCAGAAAGGCCTACGTATGTTATTATATATAGAAAACATAAGAAGTTGTAGAGAGACGAAAATTAATAGTTTTCACATTCACGAAGTTAGTTAGAGGTCATACCAAAAAAATGGGTAAAAAATAGGCTGAAAATTTGCCTCTTTATTATTAGGTATAGAAAGAAAACAGAAGTTGTAGAGAGATGAACATTAATTGTTTTCACATTCATGGAATTAGTTAGAGGAGGCCATACCAAAAAAAATAGGTAACAAAAAAATGGACTGAAATTTTACCTCTTTATTATTAGATATAGATATATAGATATAGATATAGATATAGATAAATACAGATATCCTATAATCCTTACCTAGTTATGACGAATTTATCATATACTCTACATGCTTTTTAGTATTCCATCGCCCCGTATCTGTAGGATCTCTGGTTGGCCTAGAGGGGGTGAATAGGCCTGTCAAAATAAACACTAAAATTTTTCTCAATTTCACCATGCGGCGCTTTGCTGGCTCTCGTGGCAACCTTTGCCGAACTCATGCACTTCTTTGGGCGAGCAATGACCTTTGCAAGCACTGCAGACAACTTCGAATCACAGTTCAAAATCAGTGAACGGAAACTTAGATCGGAGAAATTTCTCAGCTTACTGCAGGTATGATAGTCCCAGATCGAGAGCTAAAAGTAGTAGGAACACCATACACAAGTAGATTGACTAGATACTCTAGAAATCACCTCAATAATATTATGACATGCAAGTAATGTAAATCAAGCAAAACAGATACAATGATTTATCCCGTGGTTCGACTCGCCACCAAGGCTTGCCTACGTCCATATTGTTGAGGTTAGCCACTAAGGTTTAGGGCTTTCTAACCCTTCCTCGTTCTGAAGTCAAGAGACTTAACTCTTGAGATGAGGGGTGGGTTTACTACCTTCAAGAAATGATTACAAATCTCCAGAGGCTGCCACACAAGTTGGCAAGCTCCACAGGCGTCGCTCTAGCTGGCTAGGAGCCAAGCTCCAAGAGTAACAAACACAGCCGCCGGCCAAAACATGAATCTAGTACTCTTTTGAGTTGAGGAATCAATGGAGCTGCTCTCTAATCGAGTTGGTGACCAACCACAACAGAGAAAAGGACCATATGCAAATTTAGCAGAATCATCCTAGCAACGTCCATCCAGTAAAATCATTTTCACCATCATTTCCCTTCCTCAGAAAATCCCA